CCGTCGTCGCCGTCATCGCCGGCACGACGCAAACAAGTGTGGTGAAAAAGAAAAATATCGCGGGTGTGAACGTGACGCTGCGTATAGTTAGTTAGGATCATATTATTGATAATTAAATCGTCGCAATCGTGGATAACAACGACCGGTACGAGATGCAGAAGCGAGACGGCAGGGAGAATCGCGGTGACAAGGAGCTCGGAGCGCGCAGCTCCGAGCGCGACCAGGAGGTCGCCAAGCGGACCTCTAGGGGCAGCGGTAACGCCGCCCGGTCGAACGTGCACTCGTCCCGGCACAGTGTCACTTCGTCGTCCGGCGTGCTCATGGTCGGCCCAAATTTTCGGGTCGGCAAGAAAATCGGCTGTGGAAATTTCGGGGAACTTCGGCTCGGTGAGTTCATTTTTTCTTGCGTAATCGAATTGGTCATTTGAAAAAGGATGCCTATTCTAAAATATTCTCGGGACATAAAAAGAAACATTTCGTAAAATTGTGCAACTATACTATATGCTTTTTTCACTTTTATCTCAATGATTGCAAATGCAATATTTATATATAAAAAAAGTCGCACGATCACCGCGTGTTTTTTTTAGTCTTTTTTGGTTAAGTCAATTTTTCCTAATGAAATTATTGAGACATCAATAGTTTGCAAATTATACTGAAAAAGATTTTTGGTGGACTTGAGGAAATAGATTATAAAATTACATTCGTCAAATTAATTTTGGAATTTATTTTAATAAATTTTTAACTTGAGATTTATTATTTAATGTATTGCAAAATATTAGAAAGTTGTAATTAATAATCAATTATCTCGATATTTTCGTTAAGAAAAAATCGACTTTCAATTAACTAAAGGATCTCTAACAAAGAACATCCATTGATAAAATATATATAGAGCACTGCTTGTAATAAAAATTTATTTTCGACAATTATAGAATAAATTTTTTCTAAAATGAATGATTCGATTAATCTTTTAATATAATGCTATGATTAAAAATTATCGCTTTTATAAATTTACGTGAAACCATTTCTCTTGAAACAGTCCTCTCCTTCTTTATATCTTTGTATGATTTGGGGCCACTTTTTCCAACGTCGGTTAACGTTAATCGACGATTTCAATTTGTTAATAGAATTACTAACATAAAAAATAAAATATCTTCATTAAAGATGTCAAAAATTTTTTGTTGACGATATTTTATTCATGTTAGCAATTCTATTAACAAATTGAAATCGTCGGTTAACGTTAACCGACGTTGAAAAAAGTGACCCTTGGTCGATTTTTTTTGTTACATAAAAAGCCGTGTTAAATCCGATAAGTATAATGATAATGTGTAGTCACTAATCGCGAAATTAAATTAATGAATAAAAAGAATGATTTTTTGCTCAATATTAAGTATAAACATTCGAATATATTTAATGCAAACGACGTTATACGTGATTTGATAGTTTTGTGGTTTGAAGTAGGATAGAATAATATTTCGAAAACACCGTTCCGAAATTCACTGCCAGTACTGAAAATCTACAATATACGTGACGTAAACTATAGATTTTCAATACTGACAGTAAATTTCGGAACACAGCCACAGATTTGTCGAAGTGATATCAGGAATGAATGAATATATTCTTGTATACGAACTTGTTTTATTTCTTGTAAATATTATAGAAACGAGCGAAACGTCGCGCTAAATTTCTTCACGTGGTTCATGTTGTTGCTTACGAACCGAATTATGAATAATGTTTACCGTGATATTGCAATCTGTATTCTCGTAACAACAGTGAAATTAGAAATTATCAGTCTCTTGAGACGCGCGACGTATATGACTGATGATGTCTGCCGCATGTTGAAAACAATAATTTTAACATCGCGGGGCTAATGCTCTCCCGATTATCGCGGCTGTGGCATAATACAAAGTGGTTCTACATACTGACGCTACTATGTAGGCCAGAAGTCTGCAAATATTGACGCTTCTCTATAAAGCGCGAATATGTTCTCGCAATCATCGACTGTACACTGAGAGAAAAGTATGTGATATTTGGAACTATAATTGTGTGGAACTATAATTATAATCAGAATACTCATTTTTATAGGAATTTTTGTTACTATAATGTTAGCAATAATAACCTTATGGTATTGTCATTCATATAATCAACTATGTATATAGTTAGAATACTTGTAAAAATATGGTTGGCGCCAAAAAACACTGTAGATTATGGTTATTGCGATTATTCTTTTCTCTCAGTGTACGAATTATTTTACATTTGTTTCGAATTTTTCTTTCAATTTTATTGAAATATAAAATTAAAAACTGATTTACTCAATTAGCACGATTAGCCGAGATTAATGCGAGCGTGGTTTAAAAAATTTGAAAAGATTTATAGAATTTTGCAATGCCTGTATTATAAATATTGCACTGAGAGAAAAGAATAATTGCAATAACCATAATCTATAGTGTTTTTTGGCGCCAACCATATTTTTATAGATATTCTAACTATATAGTTGATTATATGATTGACAGTACCATACGTAAAAGGTTATTATTGCTAACATTATAGTAACAATTCCTATAAAAATGTGTCATTATTCTGATTATAATTATAGTCCCACACAATTATAGTTCCAAATATCACATACTTTTCTCTCAGTATGTATAAAATTGTTGCTTCTTTGCTTTTTTTGCATATACATATATGTATATAATTTATGTAATCTACAACTTTTCTTGAGACACAACTCTCCTAATTGCAATTAACGTCGTAATACGATCGTTTTATAGAAGATGTCTGATGTTTTCGCATTAAGAATAATTATCCGAAAACTGCTTTATGCTGTCTTTCACTATTATGTTCTTGAAAGACGCTGGTTTCTCAACGGAGAAATCTTTTGCCGAGCTGACGAAATATCAGGCTGACACAGCGTAAACAGCTTTGCAGCTTTGATGCGCTTAGAGGGAACGTCTCGGCGATGTTTCATCGCGGACGATGCTCAGGGAAGCATTACGTTTTCCAACGTAATGATCGCAGTTGTTACTGCAAAAGCGTTCATGCAAAAAATCTCGCCGTGTTCGACGCAGCTTTACGCGAGCCGCGAGTCTGCTCTAACGCGCTATTATCCATTCTTAATAGTAACTTTGTTAGTCACGGCAGCATATGATAACAGCTCGCTCGGTGTCATCATACCTTGTTAAAGATTCGCTGATTTATATCACACGTTTGTGACAAAACTGGTAATTGCTTTCATCGCGTGTTAATCTTGCTTATTTATCTTGCAGTAAGTTTGCATGTGGAATGTACGGTGAAAAAATTTACAGCGTTGCTCGGCGAGATATTTATTTCGTATAAAAGGAAGATGTCTTTTTCCTTTTTGGCAACGCCGCCTAGCGAAAAGAATTTCTAGAGATTACTCTCGTGAATCATCTCCGAATGTTCACTTCCGAATGCCCGCGTGGTTTTTTCACCGGCTGCATTCTTGAAATGCCTGCCGCGACTGGCGAAGCAGCGGCTTACTCGAAAAATATTTCCAATTTACCGGACACATTCCTGTGTCACAAACGATTCCAAGTGGATTTTACGTTGAAGTTTAATATTTTGAAAAAAGGAAAATTTTTAGGTTACGCTCAAGTGATGAAGTTGGGAGGAACACTTGATTCCATTTTTTGAAGGAACATTTAATTCTAAATCCATTGAAAAATTCATGATTGCTCAAGAACTGTGCGATCGTTGATCTCTCTATTGTGTATAAATACATACGAAATGCCAAAACCGACATTAGCATTTAACGAATTTAATGACATCTGATATGCTGGCGATAACGGCATGAGTCATTGACAATTTTAAAGCGCTTCATCGCGTTGTACTATCTTTACGCGCTTACATTCCATGTCGCGGCGCGGGTAGCGCATTAAACTTGTTTTTTTCTTTTTTCTTTCATCGATGTTTCTTAAACAGGCAAAGCATTGAAGCGTGAATTACACTCCTTTTTCGAGAAGAATTGATTTACATCGATGGTATTTTCTGTTACATCTTTGCACTGGTTAAAACATTTCTATTTAGCTTATAGCTGTCGACAGTGAAACACAATTATGAAGATATGCAATAGAGAATTACATATACAATTAATCAAGTTAACGAGAATGCATTTAATACAGTTGATTATACTTGAAAGAGTTGTGCGTTATATTTTATACACTTTGTTTTCTTCTTTTCCCCTTCTTTTCACTCGAAAATTGAAATATGCATCTATCTCATTTCAAATGCAAAAAGATGTAAGAAAATGCGAATAAAAGCGACGAAGGTCTTGTTGAAAGCCTCGCTATCCGAATGATAACGAAAGGAGCATCGCTGGCAACGGCGCGTCTATCGAACAATGCACTCGACACTGAGATGAGCCGCGGCCCTTGATTGGTTTAAGCCTGCTGTCCCGTGCGATGAGAGACACGCGTGTCGTTAATGTCATTATGCACGCGTTATCAGTTTATCGCCTACCTCTCGTGCTCTTGTCTCACTCGCTCGAGAGTCATAAATGCGTTCACCACCGGTGGCAATTGACTCGCCGCGCGCAATGACTACGAATCTGGACACTAAAATTGTCGGCAATGTGCTTTTCAGACGTTGCTACATCGCTACAGGATCCGATAATCCGGAAAAGGTATATTTTGATAGTCTGATTTCAAATCTGCGATTTTTTTAAGTTAAAAAACACGTAACCATAGACGATTCTGCACATTCGAACGATATTGGTGTCTCATTCTTAAAAATAATACGTTTTATTCACTGTTCTATTTGCATCCGCAATAATTCATCAATAATTGCAGTTTCTAACGAAGTTTCATCAATCTGGCTACACGTTTACCTTATCCTAAAAATATGGGATAACGTATCGTGAAATTTTTATTTTTGAAAAAGTCTTTCTTTCCAATAACGGAATTTTATAATTCTTGAAAAATTTTACAACTTTCTTAGATACATTTCTTGCTCTTAATTCTTTAAACAAATTTTTGATCCTGCCGTTAGTCAATAGAGCAGTATTTGCAAGTAGAATTGTAGATAAAACTTTGGATTTTAAAAACAAGCAATAATTAATTTCGAGAAAATTATTATAGAAATAATTTGCACGAATTATTTTTCTTTGTATATCAAATAGTTTTCTCTCCTGATATCGTATAAAATATTAATTTTAACTCGATTGATATATTAACTTTTGTGATAAGATAGTCTCAATAATTAAATCGATGGCTAATCCCGATAGTTTCAACGTTTAAATATTACGTGCTAAAAATGAAACATTCCATATGTAGAGGAAAATGTGATTGCGGTTTACTCTATGTAGATTCAAATGGACGATAAGACCTCTATTTTTCGTTCGCGGCAATATCTTCTCCGCCGGAACCGCGCGA